CTTGGTTGTAGAATAGCAACATAGACCGTAGTTGTAGTATAGCTAAATAGACCTTGGTTGTAGAATAGCAAAATAGACCTTGGTTGTAGTATAGCTAAATAGGCCTTGGTTGTAGTATAGCTAAATAGGCCTCGGTTGTAGTGTAGCAAAATAGGCCTTGGTTGTAGTATAGCTAAATAGGCCTCGGTTGTAGTATAGCTAACTAGGCCTTGGTTGTAGTATGGCACAATAGGCCTTGGTTGTAGTACCCAGGGTATCCATGGAACAGTCTCGTTTCCTGTTGACTGGGTCCCGTCGTACTGCTCAACTTAGTACAATATCCAGTCCAGAAATTTGGGACCAATTCATTTAACTGCATATATGATTATTCATCAGTATTATTTGATACATCTAAGTACTTGTTTATTGCAACACTACGCTCCTTCTAATACTTGCAAACACATCGTGCAGCGTGCCCTGACAAGCAGAAACCTGGAAATTTGAAATCGAGGCTGTCCCGCAATAATAGTTTGGCGGTCTGGTACGGACTTGATATTATATCAATCACATTGTGCATTACACAACTACACTGAATAAGCGCACAAAAACGCATAACAGGTGTAACCAGTGAGCCAGTTGCATTATGAATCATCAAACAGGGGCAGTCTGTGACGTTTTAGTTAAGGTCATGCTGCCTACACCTCGCCATAAAATATAGAAAAACGATGTTATTAAAGTCTAAAATTACAATTCATTTGTAAATACCATCTTCTTATGAAACAAGAAATTGGAATGCAGTGTAACCATAGTTGTTGATGATGTCTATTTTCACTTTCACACGAGAAAATTCGGATCGGGTGAAAAGTAGGTCATTGTCTGAATAGGTTAATGAGACTCATGTTTCGGTTTGGAGCGACGGTGTTATCATGGTGGGCGACAACTACCACTAGATTAATGGCAATGTCGTTGATGAGATGCTGGAAAGTGACTGGAGCGTTTTTGAGCCCAAATGGCAATGATGAATTGTATTGATGAAAGTCCGTTTGGAATTGATCTTCAGAAACCCATATGCACGCTTGTCCAAAGAGGAGACTAACAGGATCGGGTGGTCAGGCTCGCTGACTTGGTCATTGTATCCCAGAGACGTAGATCGATGCTCATGCTGTTGATCAGTGGACTGCCTGGTGCAGATCCGATTATTTACAGAACGCCGCCATATAGCTGGAGTATTGCTGAGCGTGGCGTAAAACTAAACTCACTCACTCACTAAACTCTCTCACTCACCCACCACTTGGAGTCACAAAAGCTGTAACCTGCTTGGCACGCTCTGTTAGTGGAATCTGTCTGTACCCCGTCAATAAGTCAAACTTACTGGCGAACCAATTCTGTCCAGCTTTAACAGTCTGATAATCAGAGGTGAGGTGAGGTGAAATTGGGTTTAACGTCGTGCTTGAGAATATTTCGCTCATATGACGACGTGCATGCGTGTGTATGTGTATGTGCGGCTGCTTGTACTAGCCCAGACTTAAGCTGGTTTTATAGTGCTAGCTCACTGAGATACCATGCCGCAGTGAAGCATGAATACCCCACTCAGACACATTATACTGACTCCGAGACGACCAGTCCGTGTTGTACCCATTAGTGCCACGCGCCAGGCTGGGACCAGCAAGTACCATATTTTAACGTCTTTTGGTATGACGCGGTCGGGGATCGAACCCGCGACCTTCCGCTCTCCGGGCGGACGCTCTAACCACTACACCACCGAGGCGGTCTCTGATAATCAGAACTCGTAGCACCAGGTAGTAACCACTTCGTCCACTGGCATTCAGACGATTCACAGTGTCAACCACCGTTTCCCAAATGTAAGAAAAACATTTCAACTTCACGTCCAGAAAAAGACTAAAATCCGCCTTGAAAGATTAAACCATCTATCACCTGTTGAGTTACCGAAAGAGATATGGTTTTGGAAATCAATCTGTTTCAGTTTAATTAATATTCTTTACCCGCTGGAATTCCCAATTCTTTCATGGGAAACAATTGTATTCTAAAATTAACTAGTTCACAAAGGTATCACTTTGGCTGTACCAATAAAAAGGTAATATAATACAAGAGCAGTGATTATAGCTGTGAAGTGGTTGTAGTATTCGCCTACCACTAACAGTAATATAGCTTGGTCCAGCCACGGTATAATAATATTATATTCCTGTGATAATTCACAGGTTGAAACTAATACAGTTGTTAACTGGAACGGAAACGTACTAGGTATGAACCCAACAATAAACAAAGGAGCGTGATAATATATATCATAGTGGCGGTAGAAATTCAAAGGCAGTATAATACAAACACATTGATTATAGCAACGATTAAGATGGCAATACACACCTCACTGATTCAAATGTCAAGTTATAATAGGCCTGGGTTGTAGTATAGCAAAATAGGCCTTGGTTGTAGTTTAGCAAAATAAGCCTTGGTTGTAGTATAGCTAAATAGGCCTCGGTTGTTGTACATTTATAGCAAAATAGGCATTGGTTGAAGAACCCAGGGTATCCATGGAATGAGCGACGGTGTTACTAGATTAATGGCAATGTTGTTGATGAGATGCTGGAAGGTGACTGGGGCGTGTTTGAACCCAAATGGCAATGCCTTGCATTGATGAAAGTCCATTTGGAGTCACCCGTGAAGATCCGGGTTACAATTGATCTTCAGTAACCCCTGCTTGTCCAAAGAGGCGACTAACGGGATCCGGTGGTCAGGCTAGCTTACTTGGTCATCGTATGCCAGTTACATAGATTGATGCTCATGCTGTTAATCAGTGGGTTGTCTGACCCAGACTCGATTATTTACAGACCGCCGCCATATAGCTGGAATATTGCTGAGTGCGGAGTAAAACTAAACTCACTCACTCACCATTTGGAGTCACAAAAACTGTAACCTGCTTGGCACGCTTTGTTAGTGAAGACCCGTGAAGATCCTGGTTAGAATATTGATCTTCGGTATCCCATACTTGTCATGGTTGACACATGTCATCGGTTCCCAATTGCGTAGATCGATGATCATGCTGTTGATCACTGGATCACTGGATCACTCCGTCAATAAGTCAAACCAATTCTGTCCAGCTTTAACAGTCTGATAATCAGAACTCGTAGCACCAGGTAGTAACCACTTCGTCCACTGGCATTCAGACATTTCACAGTGTTAGCCACCTTTTCGAAATGTAAGGAAAACGTTTCAACTTCACGCCCATAAAAAGAAAGAACGTCTCAAATCCGCCTTGAAAGATTAAACCATCTATCACCTGTTGAGTTACCGAGAGAGATATGGTTTAGGAAATCAATCTGTTTCAGTTCAGTTTCTTCAATTCCCAATTCTTTCATGCGAAACAATTGTATTCTAAAATTAACTAGTTCACAAAGGTATCACTTTGCCTGTAACAATTCAAAGGTAATATAATACAAGAGCAGTGCTTATAGCGTTAAAGTGGTGGAAGTAATCGAACTTGGTCCAGCCACGGTATAATGACCAACCGACACAATGCCGTAACTTGTAACTTGTAACTTAAGATGTCATGTAAGATGATCAGGTAAGATGAGTCTTTGTGATTTTTGCGACAGAAACTTTATGATTTCTGACAGTCTTTGTGTTTTGTCATAGAGTCTTTAAATGAGATAACAAGTGTTTACATTTTATTTTTGGGTCACATACAAGATGCCAGAAATGACTGGTGTCTGCATAATCACCCAATGTGGGCTGTCGACATAATTGAAAACATTGGGTGCAATGTTTTATGAGATATCACGTTAACAACAGTATGAAAAGTGGTCATAGTGTCGTGGTGACCTTGAAATAATGTCAAGGTTACCCAAATCGACTGGTGTCTGGGTAATCCCCCAATGTATAATCTGTTTGCAGTGAAAACGTACCGATGAATTTCACTTTAAACAAAAAAGTAAATCAAGTTAAGTGAAATTGAGATTGCGAATCCTCATAATTTTACCTTCCCAAATGAACCTTTAAATCTCAGAAAAATTTTCAACTTAGGATAAAAGTTGTTTAACAAACGATCATAGATCCAAATAGCTATTATTGGTTTGTATTACAAGGGGGTGAGCGCAGTAGATGGAACAGTGAAACAAATGCACGTGCGGTACGTGATGAGCGTTAACTTACACCAACCCTACTTTTTCTCGAAATGCATACCCCCTTGTAATACAAACCAATACCACAAGGTCAAAAACATTCTTATTCTAGTTGCAATATTGTTAACTGCAATGTGCAGATTTAATAATTTTTAAAAATGAATGGTTTTGTATTTATTTATGGAAGATGTTTCCAATAAAACCATTGAGGTAGAAGCATCGGGCTGTTAACCCCGATCTGCCAAGGGAAAAGTTCTTCTCGAGGTGCGATACCTGGAACAAGGTGAGGCGAAGCCGAGCCTTGTTCCCGGTATGGAACCGAGAGTTGGTCAGATAACACACACGCACACGTTCAGGTGCAACGCAGCACAGCCAGGTGAGATGACCCTAGCTCGTCAGGCGCTGTTCCATCAGCCGTTTGTCATCCCCCCGGTGTGAAGCGTGAAAATAGCACAATATTACATGATGGTTTCTTACTAAACAACTTTTTCCGTGATCGATAATAAAACGTCCGATTTCAGATCCTGTTGGGTACAGAGGTTTCAGGACCATGTGTCTTTCTTATGTTTTGTGCACTTATCCCAATTTCGAGTTATTTAATCATTTGTCGTTCTCATTTGAACCCAAACGGACTATAAGTTAGACTAACAACTAGTCTCTGAAATGAACATATTTTACTGAAAAAAATTCATAGTAAAAAAAAAATTATATATATAATGAAAAGGAGCCCTGAGACTTTCTTCGTTTTCAGAAGCTGAGGAAATCTAGACTTACCACATTTTCTAGACTTGCGTGGGCTTTCTTGGATATATTTGCTTCAGGGTCTGTATGACAGATTAACTATAAGTGTGCGAAATACGTTCCTGCACCAGAATCTCGTGCAAGTCGAGCTCTAATCAATCACGTGCAATATAAAACCACGTGATTTAAACTGCCATTACAGCAAATGAATTGCGACAAGGAGATGCTCTTGACTTCTCAGCGAGCTGCGACGATTCTGTTCCAGGCCGGAGTGGATTTTGAAGCAAACTGGCCTTCTGGTAAGTATCGTGCCCTACTTAGCATTTGTCTATATCTGTATTTGTACTCAGAAAAGCTATACTCATTACCGCCTATCAAGCGGTTCCTTTTTCGAAAATATTAGGATATTGGTAGTCATATTAAGCAAGTTAAATTCACAGATAATGAAGTAATCTAAATTAAATTGAATTGCTTATTATGTATTGATGTGTCTCGTACCACTGTCCTATTCTTCTGATTAACGCTGAGGGAGCCGTCATAATTTATGGGTGTGGGTGGGGGTTATAGGGGTGCATGTAAATTGTGAATGCTCCCCCCTAAACTATATGGGAAAGACGTCCTCCCGTAACCCCCGTATTCTTTTTCAATCATTCTATGCCTAAGAATATAGGCCTATGGTTTTGTTATTAAAAGAAACCTACCCTAAACCTAATCCTAAACCCTACCCCCTCGAAATAATCCTAATAGAATACATTTCAAGCGTGAGTTACGGGTTAAAAAGATAACACTTTATATATAAAGTGGCCACTCACCACCCCCACCCCCGCCTGCTTGTCATGTACAAAAATTACTGACCACGCCCACCCACCCCAACCCGTAGTGTATGTGTACAAAGATGACGCGCACGCACACACACAAAACAAACATCCCCAGAACAAAACGGGTGACACAAAAAATAAAAAAAAAATATAAAAAAAAAGAAATATAAAAATAATAAGTAAATAAAAAAAAAAAATCATCACCCCAACCCCCAACCTAATTTTGGAATTTATCCGATTGTTCAATAATACCATTGATTTTATACAACTGTTGCAGGTGTACGGGTGTACAAGAGAGTAAATGAGGAACAAATGAAGATGGTCAGCAGCATTCTCACCAGTAAGAAGCCAAAAACCGAGGAAGTACCATGCAAAGCGGAACACAAGGCTTCAACTCCAGAAGGAATGTTTTCTTTCTCCCAGTGGAAACTAAATTTTAGGGAAAAATTTAAAACGTTCTCATTACTGACTCTTCTAATGAAATTTAACGTTATTGGTCAGGGGGAAATGCACTGCTCATAGGCCAGTGGCCCACCGACCGAACTGTCATTCCATTGGTCAAAAGTTTGTACTAACCCCAAGTGTATTGGTATTTGAGATTTTCATGAAAACTATACTTGATATTGATGAATGTAATTTGTTGGTAAACGTCATGTTCACGTTCTAGGAATGTATCATAAAATTAATCATTGTTGTAACTCAAATTATTCATTACAAAACTATCTATGAGGATCCTGTCTAAACATCTATTTCATTTTTCAGATGATTCAAGTGACCCTGAGGAGAAGGGGTGGGGGAGATCTCGCCGGTTCCAATTTATTAACTGCAGTGTGCAGATATTGTAAAAAAATAAATCATTTTGAATGGTTCTGTATTTGTTTATTTATTGAAGATGTTTCCAACAAAAACATAGTTGTAGAGGAATAGGCCTAGGGTTGTCAGACCCGATCTGCCAAGGGAAAAGTTCCTCTCGAGGTGCGATACCGGGAATAAGGTGAGGCGAAGCCGAGCCTTGTTCCCGGTATCGCACCGAGAGTTGGTCAGATAACCGCCTTTGGGGGTTATATGGTAACCAACCTCTGGGGAAGGTTGGTTATCTGATAACCAACCCCTTGAGAGGTCGTTCACAATAATTAATAACCCCAGATATTGACCCGATAATCAACCCACGTGGTATATATGTGAAATAACAACCTTAAGCTCGATATTCGCTTCGATAACCACCTCTCGGCTTCCTCGAGGTGGTTATCACAGCGAACCACTCGCTTGGCGGTTATTATTTCACCCATAATAGCGATTTGAAACTATTATCGTTTGTTAAACAACTTTTATCCTAAGTTGAATAAAATTCTGAGATTTGAATGTTCAATTGGCAAGGTAAAATTATGAGGATTTGCAATCTTAATTTCACTTTATTCTATTTACGTTTTTGTTCAGAGTGAAATTCATCGGTACGTTTTCACTGCAAACAGACTATAGGCTGTCACCGAATTTGAAAACATTGGGTACAACAGTTCATGAGAATCGCGTTAATAAGAATCGGGACGTACTTACGGACGGACGGACGCCGCAGAATACATAGTCCCCCGTTCCGCGTTGCGGCGGGGGACAACAACACGGAGTGCATTCTCCTTGGTCCAGAGAAGCGGGGGTCCAAGTGTGGAGTCAACTCACAAAAGACAACAACCAAAAAACATGTATCTACTTAGCTGATCAAGTCAAAGACCTGGGCGTGTTCCTAGATTCAATCTTGTCACTCGAATCTCCTATCTCTCATCTTGTCAAAACCTATTTCATGTTACTCCGCAACATTGCAAATATTCGCCAATATCTTACAACTGAATCTGCCAAGACTCTTGTATTGTCACTTGTAATGAGTAAACTTGATCATTGTTTACTGGCCAGTGCATCAAATGCCCAGATAGCCAAGCTGCAGAGAGTGCAGAACGTCTCCGCCCGCATCGTGACACGCTCTGGAAAATATGTACTCCTATACTGCACACTCTCCACTGGCTTCAAGTTTAAACTATTATGCCTTGTTTTCCGCTGTCTCACTGGAACTGCACCTTCTTATCTATCTAATCTTCTCACCGTGTCGCCTTCCTGTCTCACAGGTTAGGAACGTGCTTGTCCCAAAAGTAAAGACAGTGATGTATGGAAACAGGTCCTTTGTCCATGCAGGATCAATCTGGAACATCCCCTGCAGAGCCTTTAAAGACTGCTACACATGTACATGCCTTTCAAACCTATAAATCTAATGTTCAAGATAGCATTTCAACTGTAGGCCGGAGGAGTGAGTGAGTGGGCGAGTATGGGAGCATATTCCACATATGGGCTTCACACATTGCGCCCATGTGGGGAATCGAACCCGGGTCTTCGGCGTGACGAGCGAATGCTTTAACCACTAGGCTACCCCACCGCCCCTGTTCTCTTTGAGCATATCTGCGTTACAAATGTTATTATTACTATTATAAAATGGTAATTATAGCTTTAGTTTGTGCAGAGACCATATGGTCTCTGGTTTGTGGTATTAAAGACAGTCACTATAAGCTTCCTTATCAGCACATAATATCATCTTGCAACTTTATAATTTACTTTAATGTATCTAACAAAATAATATTTTAGGAATGTCACAGAGTCTTTAACACTGGTAACGGAAAATTTGAGATTGAAAGATAATAGTAACGGAATATTCCCTTGTTTTGTGTTCATTCTGGATAAGGCAATAAGTTGTTCTGTTGTGTGTAAACATTTCCTTGGCCAATGAATGTTGTGCATCATAAAATTTTAAGTTGCCCAAGTGAACAAGTCATAAGATAAGATGATTTCTTTATCATTTGGTGTGCAGCGTGTACAGTTCTCCTGCTTTACATTCTTAAGCATATCTATATAACATTTGTATTGAGTACCTGCACGTGATTGCATGTCACAATATCATTACCTCTCGAAATGCATACACATATACATGTGCAAAGCTTCATTTACACTGCTTAACTCACATAGCCTGTACAAAAACCAATTATCTTAAGAAGAAGACAATTTAGTCAATGTTCATGATGATTTTGATTATGATTGTGATCTACACATTCTTGTAGATAATGATGACTATCTGTCAATCATAAATAAACTTCAAAATGTAAAGTGTTGTCTCATGTAACACACTATGTGAGAGAACACTACAGGCTTGAGGAATTGACTAGTTTTACATTCAGGTGGCGATTGATGGCTATCTTAATCCCGTACATGGATTCACGTTGGTTTTCACTGACCTATATATTTCCGTGATAACAATACCATTTAGAAAGTGGTCAAATGTAACACATGTTATATTTGGGCTTACACTTTCGTAGTAAAGTACAAATTCTAGTACTTTTTCGGTTGACTCATGCAAACCCACACTCTTAGAGTCAGGCACCTAATCGCCAGCACACAAAGTCAGCCACGTACCCCGCTCAGCCACCGATGTTAGGCGGCTGTGTTACCACGCAAATTGTAATACTTGCAGCAAATTGTTATAAAGTTGACGTAAATTGTAATAAAAATTCACATAAATTTTAATACGCAAATTGTAATAAAAATTGACGTAAATTGTAATAATTTTTGTTGCGGTAAAATGTAATACATATCTACGTAAATTGTAATAAAAGTTTTAACCATACGCAAATACGCTTGTGGTTGTGTTTCTTTCCATTACATTTTTCTTAAGGCGCCTAATTTCTTAAAGAACGTTTAAGATACGAGTGATTTGAGATGGTGGTACAATTTAATGAGTGAGTGAGTGAGTTTAGTTTATGCCACACTCAGCAATATTCCAGCTATATGGCGGCGGTCTGTAAATAATCGAGTCTGGACCAGACAATCCAGTGATCAACAGCATGGGCATCGACCTGCGCAATTGGGAACCGATGACATGTGTCAACCAAGTCAGCGAGCCTGACCATCCGATCCCATTAGACGCCTCTTACGACAAGAATAGTCGCCTTTTGTGGCAAGCATGGGTTGCTGAAGACCTATTCTACCCGGATCTTCACGGGTCGTTGCGTCGTTGTTTTATGTTCCAAAAGAAACCTTAATTTTAAATTGTTTTGCAATAACTTGAATTTCGATGACACTCATACTAATATTATCAAGAGGAGCTCTGCGCGTCCGTATATTAACGCATGACAATATTATCCGACTCATAACTTGTTGTCATAACTCATAACAAGTGGATAGGACAATTGTACACCTGAAGATAAAGTTAAACAAATATTATATTTAAAAAATGTTGAAATAGATCATCTTGAGCAGTGAATATGAATTACCATTTAACATTCATCATTATTGCATTACAATTTTACAGATGTTTTTAGTCAGGCAATTTTAGTACAATTTAAAGCATATTTTATGCATTAAAAATCAAACTAAAATCTTTACAAGTGGGGCTATTTTAAGTGAAACTCTATCAATATTACACTGGAAATGTCCACCTTTGATAAAACTATAGTTAAACTTACAATACATTTCATCGTCATTCAGTCAATGCCATATGTAAAAAGTCTCTGCTGGTTGAACCAGAGACCATATATACTGGGACTCTCTATTATCGCGGGCTCTCTATTATCGCGGCACGCGAAAACATCGGGAAAGCAGAAACACCACGCCCCGCATCTGCTGTTTACATATGCAAATTACGTAAAATATATTCATCGCTCTTGAAAAAAGTCATTTATTTCATTGGAATGTTATGTGTAATCGGAGAAATATTAAAGCATTCATCTTTTCAGTAAGTTCTAGAACATTTTGAAACTAGTATGACCCCTACTGCCCTTAAATCTAGCATGAATCAAAACTTACTTCACCAAGAGCAATCTTGCGACAACTATAAGGTCATTTGCATATTTTCCGTGCTAAAAATATAACAGGAAGTGACGTATTATGCAACTTCACTCTGCACACGGCAGCAACTTGTATGGTACGTTTTAAGGCGGAAAAACAATATTTTGTAACGTTAACCTTGTATCCAAATGAATAGCTAGAAGTTTCTGATGTTTGGGTTAAAAGCGTGATGATATTACTAATGTGAATGAAATTCCTAAATATTTTTTAATGATCGAACTATTTAGATTCGTTACTTGTCTTAGTAAACGTTTCACAGTGTCATCTGCTTGTACCGCGTGCCATAGTAAGAAAATAGCAATACCGCGATAATAGAGAGTTGCTTCAATTTCCGGGTCAAACGAGACAAAACGGAATTGCCGCAATGGTATTACACGATTTGCGACCATGTGTCACATTATTTGTGACAGAAATGAAGATTAATCATCAGTCAACTGAAATTATCTATAAAATGCTAAATGTCAGTAGCCGTTCATAATCCCGATGGCGACAACATTAACTACCGCGATAATAGAGGGTCCCATGATAATAGAGGGACGGCCCTCTCCAACAGTTTATCACTAACCATCAGCGCTACGGCCTTGCATGTAACTGATACACATCGACACCCTGCTGCTAACTTCCCTCTAACGGTACACATGCGCAACAGATGCGCAGACATTCGCAAATGAGCTCTCTGGTAACCACGTAAACAATATTGCGTAATATCCGGGCCGAGAGCTAATTCCCTTAGCGGGATTTCACCGGCTGCGTTTGACAGTTAAACATTACATGGACAGCTCCAATAAACTGATTACAATAATCTTAATTTTTATCTTATCTCTCATTTGCACATGCCAACTGACAACATCGCAGAACAT